CTATATTCTCTGGTTTTCATTGGTTTATGCCTAGTCCCTTTGCTATTGCTGCCCTATTTTTTTATTACCTATTGCTTGCAGTTTATTTTCAATATTCTGATGTTCTGGCTAGCTATTTGAGAATTAGGGACTTGTATATGTGAAAATTTTGTTGATGCTCTCTTTGGTAACACATTTTGCTAAGATATTTGTTTTCTTGCCTCTAGGTGGCTTGAAGTTTTAACAATGGGGATCTAGAAAGTTGCTATGGGTTTAATTTTTAGTTTCAACTATTGTGCAAATTTCTAATTGCATTGTTTGATTGAGAAAATATGTTGGTTTAAATGAAACCTTGATTTTGTCACTTTATATGTGTCCTTGGGGATAAGAATGGATATTGTTAGCATACTAGTACAAGTTGAATTTGCTAATTATGAATGGGCTATATTTCTTTAGTTGAATGCTCTCATTATTAAACTTGAGCTTATGAATGTGACTTATGCTCAATACTCATTGTCATGCTTCTTGATTCTGGACTTGGCTTTGCTCTTCATGTTTTGTATCCTTAGTTCAAATCTGTTATGTAGAAGCTAGATCTTGTTTAAACATATTATGCAAAGTGTTATTTTGTGCTAGCTTCATTTAATCTTGTTTGCTTAAAGTTTGAACCTTTATTTTTACTTATGCTGGCTGTTGCTTAATGGTGTTGCATTGAGTGCTTTCTTGCAGGAAATGGGTAAGAAAGTATCCCCCTTTCTAAAAAAGCCAAGGTCATTGAGGTTGGTGAAAGTTCTAAAGGATCGGGATGGGATAAAACTGGATTTGCCACTACTGCAACTCAAGATTATTTTGAGCAAAATTTGAAGGAGAGAAAAATAGTTCAAGAAAGACCCTTCCCTTTGAGATGGTCTGAGCAATTTTACAATGATTTGCATGATATGCATCATGCTACTAGCCTCATTCATGAACAAAGCCATGCCTCTCAGCTGCTTGTGGAAGCTTACTATGCCTACGCTGCTTGCAAGGATACCTTGTGATGTAAGGTACAGGGCAAATGGGTAGAGATCACTGAGGACACATTTCGAAAGGTGTACAACCTTTCTTCCATAGAAGAGTGCCATTATACTGTTTACAAGAATGATAGAACTCAATTGCCATTTGATGATGTAGTCCGAGTGCTATGCCTTCCTGATAAAAATATTTGGCAACATCACCTATGGCAATCCCAAGGGTATTCTGCGCTGTAATCTGAACAGGACAACTCGTATATGGTGGCACTTCTTGGCATCTAATATGATCCTAGTAACCCATATGAGCGATGTGACTATTGATTAAGCTGCCCTTTTATATACCTTGATGATGAGGCAACCTGTTGACTTTCCAAAAATCATGTTTGAGTACATGCAGAAGTTGCCTAGAAGCAGATATCGCAAGCAGGCATTTGGGTTCCCACACTTGATTACTCAAGTATGCTTGGAGAAGAAGGTTCCCACTTATTTGAAGGATCTTATGCTCCCTCCTTTGCCAAAGTTCAATTATAGAGAAATTCGATATGTTGAGGGACCAAGAGGGGTACCAGATCAAGCTGCGGATGGTAGGAGGCATATTGATCCACCTCATGTTGAGCTTACACTGAGCGACCTCATAGCACTCATCCAGAATATGCATGAGGGCCTCCAGAGCCAGCTAGATCGAATTGACTTCATGCTCCACCACATTGAGCTATTCTTGCATCAGAGATTTCAAATGGACTTGCCAGAGGAAAAAGAGGAGGCCAATACTGTTGTTGGCCAAGACTCAGACACTCACGCTGACTAGCTTCACCCTTCTTTACTTTACTGCCTTTTATTTCTGTTTTTAATTCTAATTAACTGTTGATTAGTTCTTTTGGGTAAATATGGTTAGCCATGATCTTCTGAAATCTTTTGTGCAGGGCTAACTTTGATCTTTTTGTAGCTAATATGTGATACCATGACTAATCTCTTGCAACTAATTACTCTATGATAACTTGTGCACATGTTGGTGTAGTTAGTTGTATTTTTGGACTGCTTGTGGATATATCTCAATTATACTGTTACAGGTTTCTAATTTTTTTGTGCCTTTCATGCACCTTCTTTTTTATTGTTAAGTTGCATGAGAGAGGGCCCTCATTTTACCCTTTTGACAGTGTGGACATTGTTCAATTTAAGTTTGGGGATGAGGATATTATTTTGGTTAATTTGACATGAACTTCAATTTTAAAACTTAGCTATTTACTATTTCTCTTTTCTGAAATTTGAGCTAGATTGAGAAATTATTTATTGAACAGAATGCGTGATCTAATGATAGAACATTTCTTAAACTATATGTTTTATAGGAAGTTGTGAGCAATATTTTGGCATGCTTGAATTGCAAGGTTAAGGCTTGCTTTCTAGTAATTTGTGAAATTTTCTTTTGCACTTTTGAATCTGATAATGATTTGAATTCCTTTATTAGGAAATTTTATGGCAAGTTTATGTGCATTTTCTTTCTCAATTGAGAAACTCTAGAACCTATCTTGGAATCTCTTGAGGCATTTTAATCACTTTCCATGATATTAAAATATAATTTGGGCATTCTTTCAAATGCGTTTGAGCCTTTCAAGCCTACCTATTGCATCATTTCCACTTGAACCCCCTTTTGAGCCTGCAATTGAAAATCTTATGTATTTTTTTTTGAAACCTACATTAAACCCTTGCCTCTAAAACTTGAAAAACCATGAACTACCTTACTCTTGAGATAAATGATAAAAAAATTGTGTGCTAGTGGGAAAGATTGGTTTAGTTATTCAAGAAGGTGTTGTCGTAAATTTAGGTGTGAGGAATGGAAATGAAATTTGAAATTCATGAAAAAGTATAAAAAAAGTATAAAAAAAATAGAAATATACATGAAAAAAAATTGCAATGAAAAAAAAAAAGAAAAGTTTCAATATCAATAAATTTAGAGTACAAGGAATGGTATTTAAGATAAGTTTGGGGGAAAGTATTTGGCTAGCAAGGATGGAATGCTTGGCTTCTCATTGTCATTTATCTCAAGTTCTTTGAATTCCATTTATCCTTTCATTTCAATTAGCCTAAAACCTTCGGCCACGCTACAAGCTTACAAAGTCCCATTAATTTTGAAATATGTGAAGTGATCTTTTAGTAGAGAGAGAAAAAGAGTTTAGGTATATGAAGTCTTGATATTGAGCTTGTTTCATGCATATTGAGTTGTTACATTTTGACTTGATAGTTGCAAGAAAATCATTCTCTGATCTTATACACACACATTTCTAAATTGTTGGAAAGCATGATCTTAATTTGTGAATCGAGCATTCCTTTATATTTCACTGCTATCCTCTTTAATATATATTTGAAGCAACTAGTGAGGATATTTTCATGCAAGCTTAGTAAATGAATAATTGGTTAATCTAGTTGTTTTATTACTTGTTTTACTCGAGGACGAATAAAAATCTAAGTTTGGGAGTATGTTAACCTTTAAAAGTTCATGTTATTTCATCACATTTTTCTTAGATTCTAATCCATTTTGGTTTAATTGTGTATGTTTTTATTGCCTAAATTAGGAAAATGTGCATTTTGTTTTAGGCTTGTGTTCTTGGCATTAATTTGATATTTTTAGCCTAATTTCATATTATTTTGATTGAAGTTTTGATTAGAAGCATTTCTTGAGCTTTTTTGATGTTTGTGCAAGGCTTTTGGATGAAGAAATCAAGAGCAAAATGAATGATTTTCATTAGCTGTAAAAACAGTGCAAAACTGCCAAAGTCGTCCCAAAGTCGTGACTTTCGTTCACAACTTTCATTGCTGTCTGAAAAATACTGCATTTCATTTATCAGAAATTAGTTGGCTAGGACACATATAAGTTGAGAGCTCAACCCAAAACTTATTCTTCAGACTTTTAGACACTTTTGGAGCTTGGTTGTGCTAGGGTTTGGGTATTGGAAGAGTTGGGATCAAGAGACTAAAGCTTTGAAGACATTTGGAGCTCATTTTCTTCAATTTTTCTATTCCTCTTCCCTTTCCTCTCTTGTAATCTGAAATGGGTCCACTTATTTTGTATATTTATAGCTTGTGGATAATTATCAGTGGCTAAACCCTTTGTTCTAAGATTATTTGGAACCCTTGTATGGATTAACACTATGTTCCTCCTCTCTTTTTGTGATTAATGATATATATGTTTTTTATTTTACTCTTTTCTTAATGCTTCGAAGTGATTGGCCACCATTTAGATGTTGGGTTCACTTAATTGATGCTTGAGAGGGCTAGGTTGAGTGTAGAACTTGGGTAAAATTATGTAAGAACTTGATATTTGCATGTTGAATGGATGGTTTTGCTAGTAAGATAGAGATATACTTGCTAGCCTTGCATAGCCACATTAGGGTTGGTATTCAAAATTGAGTTTTATTAATTGTAACAAGAAATTGGGCAATTAATTTAACTAAACACTTGTTCATGACTTGAGAGAGCTTGTCCAAGTATTTTTAGAATCCTAGGTTAGCACTTATTTTCATTAAAAGCATTTATGAGAGGAGGTAATTTTGATGTTATGAAATGCAAGGGGGATAAATAATCCTAGGTTCTAAATTGTGTTGGAAGTTTATGAATTACTCACTTTTTTTATTTTCTAGTGTTAGTTTCATTTGCATAATCATTTTTACCTAACTATGTGTAGCTCAACTTGATCAAATTTGCTTAGTCTTTTGCTTGATTATTGTTTTTGAACAAATTCTCAAGGGAACGATACTTTACTTTCATTATATTACTTGCTATGACCCGTGCACTTGTGGTGAGCAACAGTCTCGCGTGCGATTTAGCTTTATCAAACTTATTCAATGAAAATAAGGCTTCTAGAGGTAATTTCTCAAGTATGACATGTAGTTTCACGCATGATTGAGCATACAGGGGGTATTTAGAATGAAAATGGGCTTCTAGAGGTATACAACCAATCTAGCACTTGTATTAGTATTTTTAGCCCTTCACCAGAAAAACAACCACATATTCACATTATATACAATCTTGGGCTAAAATACAATATGGCATAGTATAATACAAGTGCTAATCATAAAATGTTATGCATTCCGAGTTGGCAACTCATATTGTCTTATATTTACGTTTATGTACACACAATCCAAGGTAAAATCAGGCATTACAATTGCAACGTAGTAAATATGCTAGCCCTTGCCTGACTCCTTCCCTTGCTCAGACTCAGTAGTAGAACCTGTAAAATAATAACCATGAAATGAGATAAAAATCTCAGTAATTAAGATAATCTACATTATCAATTAACATTCCAAGTTAAAAACAAGCTTTAAAATATGCATAATGGACACCATACTCCAGACCGAACCAATAGGCTATTTCATAAAATCAAACCACATGTGTGGTCCCTAAGCTCACCATCTATGGTAGGACTACCTAGCCAAGGCATCTTAACCCACTTCTAGACTACAGGTTCTTCTTATTACAAGTAATTGGGGTATTGTTACTCCAACATTGCATCCTACAGATGCTAAGGAGCATAGTCTCCAACTCCATACCTTCTGAGTACTCAGGAGAATAACTCTCCGACACTATACCCTTTTTGGGTACTAAGGAGAAATATGAGTTGCACCTAGCGTCCCAAGGTACCAGCAATGCTATATGGACTTAATCTCTACTAACTCCACTAGGGTGACCTCTTAGCCTTTAACATACCACATTTCACTACACATCTCCACTTAATCATGCATAATCCCTTTCTAACAAATATAATGAATCTTACCACTTACTTGAAAATTAGGAAATTTCATAAATCAATACTCCACACATTTTCTAAAATACTTAACATTTACAAAATTTATATATGTATATATAACTAATCCTACAAAAAAAAAAACTTGTGGATAACTTATATAAGATAACAAATAATGTAAATTATTTAGTTATCTCAACCCTCTTGTTGCAAAAAGGGTTACCCATGGTACTAAATCTCCTTTTGGGTCATAACAAGTTTTCCTCACACCTTAATCTACAACAACAAGTACTATATGTTAATTTTCGATTAACACAAGCATTATTAGACATCAATATCACCCTAGATCTCTCACTTTTCACTCCTATCCTCAACACAAAGAAGCAAGTCAAGGTTACAACTAGCTCACACCGTCCCCTTAAGCTTGTCATTAACTCTATCACAACACACAACTTGGTATCTTAAATTGTCATAGCTCAAAATCCTATAAACAACTAGGGCTTGATCCAATTTATGCTAAACAACCCCTAAGCTTCATAATAACAATTATTCAAGTCAAAGAAACTCTAATTAAGCTCCAATCATCCCATAAAATCCTTAGGGTTCAAGTATAATCTTCCCCAACTCAAACCGAAAATCTTCAAATCTCCCATCCCTTTTAAAAATGACCTAGAGAAGGAGGAGAAGGAGTTAGCAAGCTTACCTAGATGATTGAGAACCCAAATCAACTTCTAATCTTGCCTATACAGAAGCCCTAGCATAGCTACTCAAGATCCCTTTTTGTGCACCCCACTTTCATAAAAACCCCATCTGAAATTTTATGTTAATTCACACACATTTTATTTTCAAATCTACGAATTATGTTGCCGCATAATCTATTTATGCCGCAGCATAATACACAGTGAGACCAATCTCACTTATATCATATTGTCTTGTCCTAATTCGATCCAACTTTAACCCTAGCTTAACTTCAGAACTATCCAATGATCCAAAACATTAACTAACAACCCAAACCATGATCAAATTAATTACACATTAATTTTAACTAATTTTTCATTTAATTAGTGATAAACTCTATAAAATTCTGGATGTTACAAATTTAAGGTCTAAACTATATGTGTGACAATGCCAAAGTTGTTTTCACAAGCTCAATATCAATTACCATGTGGAAGATTAAGTAAGAGTATGTAGATAAATCAATTTTAATTTTACATATTACAATATAGCGTAAATCAATGTTACTGGAAATATAAAGAGTTAAGGGAAGAGAGATTGTAAACAATGGTTTATCCTAATTCAACTCCTCCTCTTGAGCCTACATCTAGTCGTCAAGAAACTACTTGAGACTTCTCTAATATAACACAAGCTTGAATAGGTGCTTGCCACCTTAGTAAATTCATAAGTTCAATTTAGGCACTTGTGAACCTTTACAACAACTCACTTTACTAGTGAGCTTCTTTTTTCAAGAGAACAACCTCTCTTAATTTCAGGAAAAATCTCTCCCTCACCTTTATAAAGGTTTTGAGTATGTGAATCACTCACTTGAAACTCTCTCTAAGAGCAATGATGAGTACAATGAAGCTCTAACACTCAAATGATGAAGATATAAAAGATCTTGGCTCAAGAATAATGATTTCCATATAACAAAAGTACTATGATCATAAATTTTAAAGTTTGATGCTTTCTAATCTTAATCTCTTCTCAAAATCAATTTGGAGTGTTGAATTCATAGCTTATGGAGTGAAATATATATTAGAGACATCAAATGACTGTTTGAAGACGTTACATAGTGCATATAGCCATTGGTGCATTTTCTTATAAGTGTTCAGTGCTAATTCACACGTGTTTTGGAGATTTCTCAAGAAAAAATGACATATCATGCAAGTTTTAAAAGTGTCTCTCGCGTGATTTAGCTTTATAGAACTTATTTAGTGAAAATAATGCTTCTAGAGTCATTTCTTGAGCGTGACAGATAGTTTCACATGTAATTGAGCATACAGAGTCTATTTAGAATGAAAATGGGCTTCTAGAGTTTTTGCATTGGTGCTAAATCACGCGTGATTTTGCAACTTTACTATACAAAACTACATAATATCCTAACTCACTCAATACTACTCTAAATTTGACAAATTATATATCATTGGAAATATCTTGAAGTCTAGTTTTTAATGAAACAAGTTTCATACTCCAAATTAATTTATATTTCGAGATATAATCAAAAGAGTGTACGAAGATTAAGAATGAAAGATGTGCAGAATCAGTATCTCAACACTCAACTTCTTATCTTTCATAATAGAACTCCATTTTGAATAAATAAACTATCATTGAAAAGCTATTGAAGTTTATTTTTATATGAGACATGTTTTACAGTAAAATGATCTTTGCAGTGAGAGATATAACACGAAACATAACTAACGTCAAAATTAATTTTATGCACAATTCACATTTCAAAGCTTAGACTTCAAGTGTTTATGACTTTTTCAACTTAATTCCATTTTGAGTAAATAGAACAACATTAAAAACTTTATGGAGTTAGTAATCAAAACATTTAGAATCTTGTGACACAAATGTGATCAAAAATGAAAACTATGATTATAGAAAACTATACCTTACTTTTTCTCTTAAAAACTAAAATGCATGTTTTGATTTAAGATTTCTTGAGCCAATACTTCATATCTAAATCAATGAGTTTAACATAAAGCCTTCTAGCCTAATGATATTATACCTACCAATTCCTAGGCTTCCAAGGTGTATCCAAGCTTTTTTGAATGTCTTCATTCTTCTTAAGCTCTTCTTGGATCATCCTTCTCTTTATCTTTATGTTCTTCAATAATGAGTATAGCATACAAATAATGACTTCAAATTTATTCCTCTTCATGTTTACTCCCATCTTCACTTTGGATAATCTTAAATGATATACCATAAACAAGATGGTTAGTCTAAGTGTTAATATGCATATATCCAAGCTATAAAAGATAATGCGATGAATCACTCTTGCTTATAGAATCAATTTAAGATAAGGAAAATTATGATAGTATAAAATGACTTTGATGCACATAAATCATCTTTTTCAAATCTTATGTAATATGGAACAATATAGGTAAAAACACTTAAAAGTACTTCTTCCATAGATATAGTTAACTACTTTATATATATGAAAACAATTAGGCATAAAAATAGTTAACTCATCTATATTTGTCATCATCAAAACTTAAGACTAACATAATATCATAAGTCACTATGTCCAACAATGTAGTGACTTATGACTACCACAGCAGAGGAGAAATACTAATTGAGTCTAAATTGATGCTTAGAGCTTAGAAGCTTTCATTCTTTGATACTTGCCTCTGAAACTTCACTAGAAGGCATGTTGCTGCCATCGTTAGACAAGTCTTGGCTAGTTCTAATTAGAGCTTCTTTTTATTGATTAGTTGTATCAGGATCTGATGTAGAAGTAGGCTTCTTAGATTTTCTTAGACTTCTGAGCCTCTTGGATGATTGAGAAGGTGATTTACTACCTTCTCCAATTAGATCTTCTATGAATTTTCTCTTTTTCGTAACCTCTTTACTAGTTCTCTTTCATGTCTCCTTTGTTCGTGCCATCGCAGAGAACTTTTAGAGAATAAAAGAATTTAGGTTGATGAAAGAGATGAGTTTAGAGTGAAGTGAAGGGCGAGAAGAAAATTAGAAGAGATAGGCATAGCAATTCGAGTGCCAAAACGGCTAGAGAAGAATCAGGAAGGCAGTTAAGAAAGAAGGTTTGAGTAACAGGTAGAAAAAGGAATGCTGGTTCATGCAAAAAAATGAAAGACAGACAAGGAAGATATATATAGGTAATGCAGGATCACGCGTGAGATGAAAATGGTTTCACGCATGATTTAGCACTTTTAACTAACTAAGTGCTATTTCTCATCTTTGTCAAACAAGTTTCACGCGTGATCTAGCCGTAAGTATAACATTTAAATAATTCACAATAAATACAGGTAAAGTCACGCGTGATCACAAATTACTTTCACACATGAAATGACCACACCATTAAATAACATGCTCTCAAGAAGGCATTTCATGCAAGTAAGCCTTCCTCTATCACGCATGATTTAACACAACTTAGAAATAAAGATTCAATCAGTGCTATTTCACACAAGCAAAGCTAATGCCTTCATGCATGATTTAGCACAATTTAGAAGTGAAGATATCCTGAGTGCTATTTCATGCAAGTGAGTGTATCTTTTTCACATGTGAATATGTAGTTATGTAGAGAGAAACACAAAATCAAGAAAATTCATCAAGATATGATAATTAAGCTTATAAGAAACATTTTCTAACAGTAATAATCAATCTTTAAACACATACCTGATTCTTTGACTTCTTACTTTAAGATTTCCCTTGATTTATTCCAATAAGGTCCGAATTCACTGATTTATTATTGTAAAGACATCTTAAGACAACTTCGAAGCTTAAGTTAGTAAACGATTCAAAATGTAATC